CGTAAGAGCTGGTGAATCTTCCATTTCTTGAATGGAAATAAGTAAATTCAATTAGGGTGTGGTAACAGATGTTTCGAATGGGTGGTGATCATTCCAGACAGAGAGAGGAGATCACGCCAAAGAAACCACCTATTTAAAGGCTTTCAGCTGAGGATATGCAGAAGAATCCAGACAGTAATAAGTGTGATTTACAGTTTCTTCACTTGCTCCAAGGTCATAATGGTGCAGCTGATGTTAATTGTCAAGTTGTTAAGAAGAGTTCTGAGATCAATATTTACACCCAGACTGGCCGCAAATTGCAAACAGAGCAAACACTCTCTCTCCTTGCGAAAACCCCAGCAAAAGAAAAAAAAAATAAAAAGATCTCTGAGCTCAACTCAGCAAACAGCAACAGCTTTCCCCGTTACCCGCCCCAATTGGAAAGAGAAAAGAAAACCATGGCGGGCATTAAGCGGAGAGTTGATACTGCGGACGATCGTGGTGGCAAAAGGACAAAGGTTAAAGATGGAGGAAGAGTGAAAAAGAGCAAGGAGCCCGCGGAGAGCAAGCCGAAGCCCAAGAAACAACCAACAATAGTTGAGACCAGTGACGACGACGACGACGACGACGACGACGACGATGATGATGATGATGATGAAGAAGAAGAAGGAAATTTTTCAGTGTCTGTCTCCTCCGGCGAAGAGGACGTAGATATGGCAAACGCATCATCGGAAGTTGAGGAAGATCAGAAATCAGCAATCCCATCGAAAATTAAGGATGATTCGAAACAAGTAAATGGAACTGGGATTGGTGCTGCCCCTGTGAAAAGTATGTAAATATTAAGCTTCTCCCTTCAGATATTATGTTGCATTGCATATCTAACATAATCAACTTGGGTAGGCGGTACCTCATCAAAAGAATCCCATGCAAAGCAAAAAGCGCTCGCGCAGGAACGAAAAGCAGCAAAACCATATTCCGATCTCATCTCCCGCTCCAAAAAGTTATGGGAGCGCCTGCGACGCAAATCACACGTGCCCCTCGAAGAGAGAAAGAAACTCGTTGAAGAACTTTACTCCATTGTCACGGGTCGGGTGAAGGATTTCGTCTTTAAACATGATTCTGTCCGCGTCATTCAGACAGCGCTCAAATATGCCACCCCGCAGCAGCGCAAGGATATCGCTACAGAATTGAAAGGGGACTATCGCAGTCTGGCGGAGAGCAAGTATGCAAAATTCTTGATTGGCAAGTTACTGGTGCATGGCGATTCGGAAATTAGGGATATGATTGTTCCGGAGTTTTATGGGCACGTTAAGCGGCTCATGCGGCACCCTGAAGCGTCGTGGATTATCGATGATATCTACAGAACCGTTGCAAGCACCGCCCAGAGGGCTATGCTGCTCCGTGAGTGGTATGGAGCTGAGTTTGTGATATTCAGAAACGTGGATGGTGCCGCGGAGACAGCGGATCTGGCTGAGATTATTGCGAGAAACCCGGAGAAGAGAGGACCCATCATGAAATATCTTCATGAATTTATCAACCACCTTGTTCAGAAGAAGTTTACCGGGTTTACCATGTTGCATGATGCCATGCTCCAGTATTTCCTGAATGCAAAACCTGGCAGTGAGGAGGCAACAGAGCTTATCGAGCTCATCAAGGGCGATGAAGAGGGGGACCTTGCTAAGAATTTGGCTTTCACAAAGTCAGGTTCTAGATTAGTAGCCCTGTGCTTTGCATATTCGAACGCAAAGGACAGGAAACTTTTGTTGAGAATGTACAGAGACACGATCAAGATGCTCGCCGGCGACATGCATGGACAAATAGTCCTCCTAACAGCTTACGAGGTTATCGATGACACAAAACTCTCATCAAAATCAATATTCCCGGAGCTCCTAAATCAAGGATCCAGCGAAGAAGTCAGGCACGAAGAACTTCTTCATCAAGTCACAGACCTAACCGCCCGGATTCCCATCCTCTATCTATTCGCAGAGGACAAAACACGCTGGCTCGTTACGGACCCAGACCACAAGAAGATCCTCGATGAGGTTTTAACAGTTCGATCGGGGACCTCCAAAAAAGACCCAAACACCCGTCGCGAGGAACTAATCAAAGCCACGTCACCCACCCTGCTCGAATTCATTAAAGCCAGCGCAGACTCTCTTGTCGAATCCAGTTTTGGCTGTCAATTCATCACCGAAATCCTCTTCAGCGCCGACGGGGACAAATCGGCCGCACTCGCTGCCGTCGCATCCATCCCCACATCTAAACCTAAGGCCCTGGAGACGCCAGCTGCGGGGCGGATGCTCAAAGCACTCGTCCAGGGCGGCAGATTCAACAACAAGACCAAATGTGTTGAGAAAGTGCAGCCACCCCTCAACTTTCACGGTCTACTCTATGAGCATATTTCTAGCGATGTGATGGCGTGGGTTCACGGGGCAAATCCGTTTGTGATTCTCGCTCTTGTCGAGGCGGAGGATTTTGAGAAGAGGGATGAGTTGGTGAAAACGCTTAGGAAACAGAAGAAGATACTAACTGATCTTGCAAACAAAGAGCCGGCGAAGAAGGGTGAGAAGAAGGGACCTGTTAGTAGTGCGGCGAAACTGTTGTTGGCGAAAGTTGGGTAGTTAAAGAGGTTGGTTTTTATATAAAGCAATTAGGTGGGGATATATTTTTTTATATACCAGGCGAATTGACCTTTTTTTTTTTAAACACCAAGCTTATAGCTCTTATTTTCCTCAAATCTGCTGGTTGCTAAGTTCGTTCCACACTTATTTCTATTCTGGCCGGTTCGTCGGCACAAGCGAATGTCCCAGCCTTCAACCCAAATCGTGGAACTTTTTCTTCGTTGTTCGAGGCATTACTCTGCGTCAATTATTTTTCCCGCGAGTTTCTTGTGCAACACTTATCTTTCCCAGTTTCAGTCTGACTGACAGTGTTACCCTCTGTCATACCTGTTAAGTATTCTCCTTTTTCTCCGCCCTGACGACAAAAAGATGTAGAATTTAAATGGTCCGAGGTAAGGTTTCAGGCGGTTCATCTCAAGCCATAAGAAGGCCCGTGTTGAACGGATAGGAAGGCAATCTTATTGTCTGTACTGTTTCGTTTAGATGTATGATATTCAGGGCTGAGTCTTTGACATAACTATTGCATTACGCAGTGGTTTGGATGGGATAGAGCGGTTTCAGGGACGATTATTTATACAAAGACAGGAGCAAACTGTTAGCATTGTCGATGAAGTGCACTGCTGAATATACACCATCTTCCACATCTTCACCCTTTGTAGATCTATATAAACATAAACATAAGTAAGTATATATACTCCGCATTTGTGAGTGCAAATGTTTCAACCTGTTGATCCTTTTCTCCCCGAGGTTCAACTCTAGCCCAATCCGTTTGGGCCACTTTTAACGCTTCCAAAAAATTTTTTTTTTGAGCGCGAACTTTCGCTTCGCTTCCTCTACATCCAACGAACGTCCGGACAAATCCCCGGATGAATCAGTGTAGACAGACATTCCCACGCTGACGCCCACTGTGGCAACAATTGGGACAGGAGAATTAAGCACTGGGCCTGCAGCCCGGACTAAACGGAGTTTTCACTTCTGCACGATCAGGCAAAGGGATATATCAACTCGACCGGGTTGCTGCAGGCTCACCAACCCTTGCACCCCCTTGCCGCATCGTAATTAATTAACAACCATGTCAATGTCAACCACATCTCGTCCTCCCTTTGCTGCAATCAGCCCTTTTGACAGCCGACGGAGTTCCCCACCAAGCATCGCAGCTCCAGACAACAGCAATTACAACAAGCACCACAACTGCCGCCAAAACCCTTCTTCGCCAACTACTAATGGTAATTCTATTATCCCGGCTTCGTTCCCATCTCCCACCTTGACAAACCCCGACATGATCCTCCCCTACGTCGGGGAACGTGAATGCTCTACCCCTTCTCCTCCATTCCGTCCCCTCAAGCTTCCATCTCCGGAGCACTCCGACTACCGTCGCAGTTCTATCCAGGCCGATAGTGGAATGCACGCCTCTTCGGGAATTGGCGTAGCTGTCTCCGCTATGGCCAATGCGCCCCATAACTGTCCCCAGAGAAACCCTCCCCCACGAAATAATTGGGTGTTTGCGGGGCATCGAGTTCGTCCACCGTTGTCAGATATTGGAGAGGAATCTCCCACACGGTCGAGATGGGGAGGAGATGATGATGCAGATACGGAGGTTAGCGATATGGTATTGGGCGGCTCACCGGTTCTAAAATCTCAATGGGGTAGTGGCAATGACGAGCTAGGTAACGACAGGAAACGTGATGACAATTGTGATCCTGAAGATTGCAGCGCTGAGAATGATGATGATGATGGAGCGAGTTGTAGTGCATCCAGCTCGACAATCAGTGCGCCAAGTGAGATTCTGGACAAATGGGAAGAGTTTCGGACGGCTGGGGGTAGTCGTGCCAGTGTTACACATTCGAAGGATGCGACTGAGGTGCGGAACAGGATTCACAGCCATGAAAGTGGTTGGGCCTCTCGGGATTTTGTTGGAATGGAGTCCGGGAAGGACACAAATGATATAGGGGCTATAAATGAGGAGGACGGGGTAGCTGATGATGAAATATCCTCTACGATATTGAGCAAGGAAGCGGAGAGAATTCTCGAGAATGCGAAGAAGAAATTAACTGTTTGTCTTTCCATGATTCCTGAAATGCTTCATTTCGTATTGGTTATTTGTTAAGAGCAGAGGAAAACTGATTTTTCATAATTTTTCATTCAGCATATGGAGGGTAATCTCAATCGAGCGCGTTCTTCATTGCGCATGACTCCGTCGCCATCTCCCCTATTGGGTGCATTTCCCCTGAGAACCCGCCAATCCACTGGGAACATGGGCAGATCATATTCTATAACTGAGAGACGGGCTCAAACTAGCCTTGCTGGAGCTCTGATGCGTCAGAGAGTCTCCCAGGACACGAGTACCAATGGCTTACATTCCAGAGGGCTGAGCGATGTGTCGATCCGATCCTCGCAAAGTAATGGGGATAATAGAAATAATATGCAACCTCCATTTCGATCTTTCAGCGCACTTGGGTCAACCAATGCATCAGGTTTTGGTGCAAATGACATATCTCCCAAGAGTGATCGCTTCAAACTAGATCGTTACGAACCAAAAGCCACTTTCAAATTCCCCGTGTCTACGGTCAACTATGTTTCTGAGATTTCATCTGAACCCATTGGCAATGACGTCTCACAAGCCAATTATTCATCTTCAAAACCAGACTTACTCCCCACCAACGTCAACAATAATAACCTTGAAAATGCACCTCCTGACCGTGAGAACTGCATTCCGAAAATTTCGTCAGTGGAGGAATTCAATGCCACGTATCCAGCTATTGTTCCGCCTCGTTCCCAGTCACAGCTCCAAGTTCGTGGCCTTCAGGACCAGATGCAAGATCTCAAAAGCAAGGTATCGACTCTCAAAGTGCAGGCACAAGAAGATACCCTTCGCCGACGGAGCCTTCAAAGTCTTCGTACTCCTAGTCCTTTTACAGCGGCAGAGCAGTGGTACACCACGGCCGGCGAATATGTCGATACACATGGTAAGGGTACTGAGGGTGCCCGGACGGGACAAAATACCGAGAATCATATTGAAGTTGCTGGTCAGCAGCATGGGGCTCCTGTCAACGCCGATTCATTTCCTGGTCCTGCTGCAGTGGAAGAATCAGCTACGCAGAGTACCTCGGATAGGGATCTGCAAGATGACCAGCAATCCACAATAGACAGTCTTTACGAGGATGCTGGTGAGGAATTCGCTTATGATGAGGATATTGACCGAGTTGCTCTCGCTGAGATTCTAAATGAACCCCTTGATAGCCCAATATCTTCGGATGGCGGGATGTATCAAGATTTCCCCCCAATGCCTACCGTGTCCGAAACTACGCGGCATGAGGATCGCGAGGACGCCTTTGACTATGAACATTTCTTTCTACATAGTGCGCTGGGTAACTATTCAAGAGATAAAGCCCGCCTGCGTAGTCGAAGTGTTGACTCTACTGGATCCGTGGAAACTACAAGGCCGGCAAGCGAGACCACCGTTTACGTGGATCCATCTCCACAAGGAAGACAAGGCCACGTACGAAATAACAGCACCGATACTATATCCACGACAGCCACGTTTGCTACGGCAGCTGAGGGTACCGACTCTCCCGATGAGGGCTATAGCGGCGATGAAATTAATAATGTTTTGTACGGGAATGGCAATGGCAGCGCGATGAAGTATTTTAATAACGGTATGTCCTTTATTCGATTTCCCCAAATGGACCTGCTAATCATTACTAACGAACAACCTATGTAACAAAAGACAACCGGTACCGCCAGCAATTCCAAAGCTCCCGTGCAAGCACCTGGAACTCCATGGTCAGCGATGGCTCCTCATCCCCGCCTCTCTCAGCCGCCTCCACCCCTCGCGACCCCAACAAAAGATTCAGCTACAAAAGCCACAACCGCCAACAGTCCCAGGAAGCCTCAACACGCGATGTAGCAGCCCAACTCCGTTCACCAACTGCCATGATCTCTTCATTAATATCTTCGGCCGTGGCCCGATATTATACTCCAGAGTCTGAAAAGGAATCCATAGTATTCGACTCGCAGCTCGGACCGGATGACACGAAACTGATGGAGGCACTTTTTCAGAGCCTGGGCAAAGTGGCATTGCAGTTGCAGTTGTCGTCTACTGTCGATAGGCGATCCACCACTGATGAGAGGTCATGCATTCTCTTTCGGAGGAGGTTGGATGCAGCTAGACGGGTGTTGGAAGGGCAGCTGGACGTTTAGGTGGGAATATTAATATGTTTTCATTTTCTTTTTTTAGTAAGCGACCGAAAAGGAGGCGCTGGAGTGTTTTTATCTGCATTTACACTACTTTATCCCTTTCTCACTCCTTTCCTGCTTTTCTGACTACTTCTGTCTCCCTCTATCTCGTTTCATTTAGATATTCCCTCCTACGCTGCCCCTCTAGTTCCCATATTTGTGTCATACTAATGTGTTTTTCTACTTTTCTTCCATTCCCTTCTTTTTTCTTTTTTCTTTTTACTTTTTTTATTTATTTATTTATTTATTTTTCATTTGAGATACCTCTAAATACGGCTACTGCTTTTGATAGTGAGTAATTATTACGCACTTCTCCCTCTTTTATTGGGTCTGTTGTTTTATACCTCCTTTTTCTTTCTTCCTGACTAGCACAGAATTATTTCGTCGCAGCCTCATTTTGCACATCATGAAACCCACGATTTTACGTCCATTTGTCCATAAATGCCTAACTTCCTCATTCAATCTTATCTCTCTCTCTCTCTCTCTGTGTGTGTGTGTGTGTCCGTCTTTCTGTAGCCTTATTGTGCCTGTTCTCTGCTGTGACCTGCAATAATATTAGAAGCTATCTAACCACTGAAAATATTCTCATTCTCACCCTTTCATTTACCTTTCTCATCTATATGTATGTCTGTAGAGTATTCGGTGGCTGTTTGTTTCGCGGGCTCAAATTTGGTGTTCTCCTCGGAGCCTAACATATTCATTTCAGCAAGTACCTGAAAAAAAAAATAATAATAAATAAAATAAATAAATAAAATAAAAGATGGAGACTGAAGTGATTGCAGGAGACAATGTGAGCAGACATATAATTAAAGGAACTAGCAACCTCAAATAGATAAAAGAGAGCTCTGATGTATGAAGAAGGGAACAAAAGATCCCTGCGCTCAAATGAAAGCGGGATTAAAAGACGGAACCCAAACGAGAGATTAAAACCCAACGAAAAAGAGAATATTATGGAATGACCAGGCCGCGATTCGAACGCGGGAATCTCTCGAAATCAGGGATTTAAGCGAACCTAAACCTGACGCCATAACCACTCGGCCACCTGGCCCTTATCAGTGGATAAGAAAGAGAGGGTTTGCAGTCTTCTAACAACCCAACCCCTGCTCAGTGATTCATTTTAACTCGTTAATTGGAGTCGACTGCGGTTCGCGAAGAATAGTGAATAAAGAAGCATCAAAATGGCACCCACGAAAATATCAAAGAAAGAGATAACCAGACGGAGAACTGACTGCAACTGATAGATACGTAAAGATGGAAGTTTGGGAAAGTCAGGGAAAGAACACTTGAAAGTAATATTGTGTAATACCCAGAGGCATCAACTTTTTGCTAAAGGAGCCGTGTCCAGTTCAACATATGTACTGCATACAAGATGAAAGTCCAACAAATACACGAACGAAGGAATATAGGACACTTGACTGGTCAGAACACCGCCGTTCGAAAGAGAGAGAAAAAGGTCGCCAAAGCGCCTATCTTACCGCATTCTTCCTCCACTTTGTCCCATCCCGTCCTCCCACGCCGAATCCCATGCTGTCAATAGAGTAGAGAAATATACTAGGGGAAAATAAGAGGAAATAGTCAAAACGAAGATATCTGCCATGGAACCGTCATTATATAAACACGGAGGGTCAACAACCAGTGCCATCCGCCTCCATATTTTTTAGCTAAATTATAAACGGGAAAATAAAGATATTACATACCATCTGTTGAAAAGAACGAAAATCAATGTCCAGGACATGAAAAGATTTAAGAAAATATCAACAACAAATTGCAAAGGGGGTAAAGTAGTAAGGGGGTTGGTTTCTTAAATAAAACTGAGGTTCAAAAGGAACGAACAAGAAGGGGAAATGAAATAGTTCAAGACCCGGCATGCTCCGCAACCTTCTCTGAAAAGGAAAAAGAAAGAAAAAGAAAAATCAAACATCCTCCCATGGCTTACTCCCGTTATCCGTTTTCCCATTTTTCCATTTCCGGTTCTCAAAATAAATCACAAGAAAAGAACTGCATGAAAGCAGAACAGCAAACAGGTGCAAGGAAAAAATAAATCAAGGGGGGAATACAAAGCATACAGGTCATTGACACATTAAAGCATTATCATCAACAAACTAACATAGAGGTACAGGGGAATGAGGAAGGGGGAAAAGAGGAGGGCGAAGAAGATAATGAATTCAGCACAGGGCAATCTTGTCAAAAGAAAGACGAAGGGGTATATTATATTTATGAGATCTTCTGGACTGGCTGGAGCAGACGAGTACAATACAGCAAGTCAAGGGAGCGAGGATTGGAGGGATCGAATTCTGCCTTCTGGCGTTCTTGGAAATATTGAACTAGATGGGATGATAGTTAGCCAAGAAAATATATATAAACAAAAAACAAAGTGGGGGATGAAACTAATTAAAAGCCATCACACAAAGAATAGAATAGAACCAACTTACTCGAAATGTTAATCGCGTCAAACCACCTGGTAACCCCTGCATCGCGGTCGTGAGAGGCCCTTATGTTGCCTGTTTCAACCTCAACGATGCATTCTGGTGCAAGAGACCGCATGCGAAGATGAGTGTTGACTATATCAGCGAATCGATCGTCTTGGGCTGCGTAGACAGCCGGGCGGCTTTCAAGCGGCCACTGCACGATCATGTTAACATTCAATCGACTTCCAACAGTAAAAAACAAGAAATAACCGCTCTAAGATGTTGTGTGCTAATTGGTGTTTCAACATACCTTTAAATTACCTTGTTCACTGCTATCCCAATTTTTGAACAACCATGTCATTCGCTCAACAGAGTTCATCAGTATGATGGCAGCAAGGAAGGTTTGGAAGTGGCCAGAGCTCTGCTTTTGCAGCAATCGCTGTTCTATTTTACCGAGAACGACTTTGCTAATTCGTCCGGCGAATCTCTCTGTCGCCGCACGCATTTGGGCGCAAATGAGATTGTATGAGTGTGGGGAAACTGTCTCATCGATGATGGTGCACGATTCGGTTGAGGTTGAGGATAATGGCTGGGTGGAAGAGGGTGGAAGAGTTGGGTTGAGGAATATTTTCCAATTCAACTCCGTGTCGACGAGGATCCTAGTTGCGATCCAAAGATCCAATACTCCCGCCAACAGCGAGTCCTGCTTTTTGGAGGTATTAAAGATACTATTCCCTCTTCTAACTGTTTATAGAAATAGGAATGTTGAAAATGAAAATACTACTTACAACTTCGTTCTGGCAAATTTCCCAAGCCAGAGTAAGAGTTTGCTTTATGAAATTACACAGCTCAGATTCGAAATATTGTACCGTCATGGTCTTGATGTACATCTCAATCTTGGTAGATAGCTCGTCGGTATCACCATACAAGATATGTAAGTCCTGCTGGGCCTCAACCTTTGATTCTCCCTCGGAAGTCGATGCGGGGAGTGCTGGATCTACACTTGGCTGAGCCTCAGTTTGGCGCTGCAGGCCGCCGAAAGTGATGAATTTTGGAGGCTGGGAGTCGAAGTGGAAAATCTCAATTCTCCCCATACCATGGTCGAAAGGAAACTGATGTTTGATAGTGGTAATTGCATGATATGCGAGCGTTGTATGCAGACCTACCAAAATATATTGATTGTTAATGGCTTTTGTACATTGTTTTGAAATTGGCGATGAGAACAGACCTGCAGAATAAGCCGTCAATTGAGTTGGCAACCTTTCTCTAATACAGCATACTGTCCATACTCGAGGGTTTTGAATTGCCCTGCATTGCTTGCAAGGGTCCTCCGAAGAGCACTGCTTAGATGTCAGCAAGTGCTTAGGTTCCCGAAACACATCTTCCGACAAGACGGAATACTCACCGTTTTCTTCAGCATCCGACATCTAAGGCAAGCTCCCATTTTCCTAACTAATTGAACCTCCTTTCGACGCTCCTCTGTGAACTGTCCCCTTATTTTTGGTTTCGGCTTATTAATCTCTCCAAAAGCGTCTATGAACCCGGAGCTGGAATTCTGTGGGCTAGGATGGATGGCAATAGGGCGAGGATAAAACGTCGCTTGATGCGTCTCAGAACCAAAATCCATCTGAACGTTTATTAGTTAGCTATGGACATGCCTAAATGAAAATGCCCTAGCATAGATTCAACGGAGCTTGTAGGAGCCAAGACATACCTCGGTGTCCAGGGATAGACCGCCATCCTGCGGAACCATCTCATTGGCTGTTGCAGCAATTAAGGAGAGCTCTGATGAATGTCCAGGGTCCGGGGTATGTTCCGGAGCAAGGGAGAAATTGTTATTCAGAAACGCCATCGGAGTTGGGGATTCTGCGACGTTCGGTTCATAGTGAGTCGGTGGCGGCGAAGATTGCCCGAGGGCGGCACGGAGGTCGGCCTCTAACATACCCACACACATTTCACGTTAGCCACTGAAACAACAAAATTCAACACTTCCACAAGTTACCAACCAACGGAACCTTAGGGGGTTATACCAATATTTCCTTTCTCTATGTTGGGTGCTTCCAGCGCCGGATCTACCACAATAAGTTTGGATCCCGCAAGAACCTCGCCCGCAAGCTCATCGTTGTTGTTGTTGTTGTCGTTGTTGTTGTCAGGCTGCTTCCCATCAGAAGCACCAACTTGCCTCGAGGCCTCTGCGAGTACATTAAGCCCGTTGAGACCGCCAACTCCATTGAAAACCGTCTGCCTCGCCGCATATGGCAAGTTTCCGGATTTCACACGTCCAATGCGTCCATTAGCTGTTGATTTCTTCGTCCCATTTCCAGTTGCTTTCTCCGGGGACGCTTTCCAATGATGAAGCACCCGCTCTTTATCCGCAGCTGAAATTGCCTGGCAGGTTTTCACCAGATGACCAAGCAAGCTGTCAGCACGGCCCTTGGGGAACTTCTGCCCGCAGGACTTGCAAGTATGCTCATAGCGGTTGCTCGAGTCCATGAGTTTGGCCCCGCGATTAAAGAATTCACGGACAATACAGTTTGGCCTGCGCCCCATTTTTGACGGGCAGGAGCACCACGGCTTGCTCTTCGCTGACAAGCAAAAAGGGTAGTGTCTGTTTGCAAAAGGGGTTCGAGTATCAAGGAGATGAGGGTTGGCTTGTTGGCGAAAGTCGTTCTCACAATACTAAATGGGTCTGTAGTATATATACAAATCTGTGATTTTGACGCCAGTGTGCAGGAGTAGATTGAGGAGGAGAGAACTTAGAAACCAAACAACAAGCCGTAGAACGATTTGATACAGAGACACTCCTTGTCAAAGAAAGCACAGAAGTGTTTGCAAACAACTCTTGATAGCGCTGAATAGGTGTATTGTGTTGCGATATTGATACAGCAGAGAGCTACAAAAAAATGCTGGCAAAACCTTTGCGAGAGCGGAATATGTTGGCTCTATCCAGACCGCCTTGAGGAACGAACTGAACAGCCTGATAAGACACCGGAAAATATCTTCTCCGGAGTATATCACGTGGAAATACTTGGCGCGGCTGAATCAGCCGGGAGGAACTCGGAACCTCGGAACTGCGGAAGGCATAAAGGGTTGTTGGCACAGTTTTGGCTGGAGGTAAAGCTTAATATATATAGTCCGCGGATGGGCTTAGCTCCATGGAATGGGAATGGGAACTGTATACGGAGAATGGGGGAGAAGAGGACAGCGGACCTCGAGAAGGGGAAATGAGGAGAATACAGAACCGTCCAATCATTATCATATTGCGCATCGCGCTCTGCAAATGGTTATCCAAACTGACTAGTTAGCAAATACGATGGTTAGGTGGACGGAACGGCACACCCAGTATCTCAAAGATTCTCTTCTCATCCCGGCTCTCAAGCAGATGTCCGCTGTGCACCTTGACTCTGTTCTCACCCCGTTTTATATCCGCAAATAAACCCCGCTGATTTAAACACATCCCCTTCTTGCTTGCCAGCAACCGCAAACTCCGGTTGAAAATATCATTGCCAGTGAAGTAAATCAGAGCCGCCCCAATCTCATCCCCAGGCACAAAGAGAAAATCAATCCTGCGCCAGACAGGGTTTCCAGGTAAAGCGCATGCCCCATGCCACTTCGAACCCTGCCCCCGATGACCCACTGCAAGACTCACCTGCAGGAAATTCTGCCTGAATAACTCCGGGATAACTATATCCGTCATCATCACGCAGATCTCGCTCTGCGAAGCGCCATCCTTGGTAATGATAAGGTCTATATCTCCGCTGCTTGAAGCGCCGCGTCTATAGGAACCTCCTACGAAGACCTGCACAGCTGGATCCACATTGCAAATCGCCTCTTTTACAATAGCAACGTGTGCTTCGACCTCTGCGCGCGGAATTCGTTGCATGAAGTCGTCGTAATGCTCGATGCCAATGCGCTGGTTCTTCGTCAGGGATGCCTTGGATTTCAGATCCTCCAAGGATTGATAGCCCTTTTGAATCCATTTTGACGCCTGTGTGAAACCGACCCCGTAGATATTTAAAAATTTGGAGAGAATCATATCCTGCGGCTCCATCTTGGCTTCTTCCAGTCGTCGAAGTCTGTTGGTCCAGACGATCTCTTCAATCTTACTCGCGAGTCGTTCGCCAATACATGGAATTGCAAGAGCTTGATCCTTTGTGACTATCTTATGTTTTCGCTTTCGCAAGGCACTAATGGCCTTTCGATAAGCAAGTGTACGCCACCGATCGGAATTGCGATCATAGTATTCCGACATCTGCAGCAAAATCTCAATCGTACGAGCATTTGGATTGTCCCGGTCTGTGTGTCCATCATGTTTGTGCATACAACTGAAACTCTGCTGCCACTTCGGATCTCCAGCAGAACTTTTCTTTTGTTTTGCATCCTTTCGTTTGCTAGCTTCCGAATCCGAGCTTGAATGTGCTTCCGAATCGGAAAGCAGCTCTGCATCATCCAATTCATCTAAAGGCTGGAGTTTTTTAGCGTATCTCGAAGACGAACAATAGAGACTATCTCGATTTCGCTTACCAGGCCATCCTCTGCTCTGGCTTGTTCAGTTACTTCATCTAGGATATCAGGTTCCCTCACAGAGGGCTGCACGACTACATGATCGTAATCATGTGGGCGGTGAGCATCGGGAGAAGTTGGTCGAAATGGAGTATTGTGAGGTGCTTGGCATATCGTTTGTGATGCAGCGGGAGTTTCCAGGTTGTCCACATGGAGAGCAGGCTTCAAATGTGGCGAATCGTGCATTCCAGACTCGTCTGCCCTTAATGCCCTGATACTCCTTTTACACCCCACGGGAGCTCCATTGACGTGAAAGCGAGTATGGCACGGATTCATGAGCGAACCAAATGTGATACACTCCGCCGGGTAAGATTCGTTTACCAAAAACACGGAGGACTATAAGATGAGTGGTGAGGAAAACTAACTCATGGGATGAAACCAGGCAACCTACCGGTAACGCATCTCGCTTCAAATACTTTAATACATCACTGAAGGATATTGTTTTATCTACTACCACATGAGTCACTGTATCATTCCATGAGAGTAAACGGGAAGCTCCGAATTCAAGCGCCTTATTGATCCGCATGCGACGTGCAGGAGCGACGTCATTATTAGGAATGAAAACTGAGTTACATGAACTGCGTTAGTGCCTCAAAAGCGTCATTTATCTCAATAGCAGGAAACATGTGAGGCAAAACTGACAAAACACCATATCCTTAAATATTTGCTGGTGCTCCGGCCGGACGCGAATTGTGGACTTTTGTCTTCTCTTCGCAGTTGATGACTTTCCAGAAACACCATCCACTGTTGATCGTCTCATTAGGGCTGCAGATCTCACGGGTGGCCTTCTGTCTGATGGCACAGCCGTAGGTTCGATATCCTCCTGGCCATCACTGATTTTATGTCGTTTCAAGCTATGGCAATCTGAGAACATATTATGTTTCTCCGGTCCTGGACTTCGTGATAGCGTTCGGTTGGGAAAATTTCTTTTCCTTGCCTGCCTCAGCAGTACTGCAAGCTCATCAACATCCTGGGAGCTATCACTGTACCCGTCGAATTCATAGAGAGACTTGCAGAATGTTTCCTTGTCCGGTGAGTTTTCTGCGCTATTTTCCTGCTTCATCTCGATCTGTAGTGAAGCGGACCCGCGATGCAGCTTGGTGACGGTTTTAGTGGTGTTAATAATGTAGAGGGCAAAATATTATCCATCCTGCAGTAAACAGTTAATTAAATGTTACATCCAAAACAACAGTTGTATTGATCCGTGTTAAGTAAAATATCAATTTGATATTGTCAATGTGAAAAAAATACGGTCAACAAAGTTGGAACACGAACAGGGAGCCAGATCACGTGATCTAAATCGTTTCCACCTAGATTTAGATCATAACCTCCGGCCATGATTTTAACTCCGTCGGAAATGGACAATCGGGCACATGAGCCTGCGCTTGGGAATCTCAATCATGTCAAAACACTCCTCGTTCTTATTGTCCCTTAATTCATTCATTTCTCGTACATCCCGGGGTCTGCAACCACAACTCTATTCTCGCAATGCGTCGACATCTTCACCCGCACCAGTCGGAGGGGGACCTCCGCGGGACGATAACCTTCCTCCCCCCACCAACAACAAGATTGAGACAGATTCATTAGCGGAAGACAAGAATATAATAGGAGGATTTACTCCGAAGCCACTCAATCGCCCTCTGGGTCTTCCTTATCCCCCACAACCAGGACAGAATACGGGTATCGATACGAGGACACTCCGTCAACGACGGGACGATTTTGTAGACTATGAAAAACATATTGAGCGACGGAAGGAACTGTAGAGAAAACATCCCATACGGAACCTTTTTGCAACTTTCCGATTGCTGGCGGACAGTAAATAATATCAAAATTGCTAATATACTATCCTGCTTCGCGGGAACACAACTATAGGGTCCGACAAGCTGCCAAACCTTACTTTCGTGAATGGACAAATATGCGCTATCACAAGGGCAAAACCTTCATATCCAACACCCGCCTCTTCAAAGCCGATAAAGCCCTTTACTTTCCCAATATATACGGCCGCACACTCTCCCCTTCAACACCCATGCAGGACACCACCCCGATCCTTCGTAGCAAGATATCCGTCGTGAGCATATTTTCCAGCCTCTGGGCTGAGCGCCAAGTCGCCTCCTTTGTGAACCCGCAGAAAAACCCTACACTGCACCAGATTTTGAAAGAATCGCCCAATGTGGCTCAACGGGTTGAGATTAATTATGAAGACAATGCGCTGAAGGCGTGGCTGATACGCATGTTCATGTGGCGGATGAGGAAGAAGATGCCGCGGGAGCAGCATGATAGGTATTTTTTGGTCAGGAAAGGGTTGACAGAGAGCTTGAGGGAGAAGATTGGGATGATGAATAGTAAGGTTGGGTATGTTTATTTGCTGGATCAGGAGTGCAGGATTCGATGGGCTGGGAGTAGTATTGCAGCAGAGGAGGAGATGGAGTCTTTGAATAATGGGTTGCGGAAACTAATTGAGGACAGGAGGGTATGGAAGGGTCTCAATGCCCTCTCACAAAAGACCGAAGGAAATGTGTAAAAGGTGTATACCCCAGTTTGGAAGAATGGATATGTATAACAATCGCGTCAACTTGAAGGGTTGAATCTCACTTACATCCTTCAAAAAAAAAAAAATAAAATAAAATAAAAGTAACGTAAAAACATATGCAAAATGCAGCGAAAGGAATAAAAATACACGTCTGCTGATTAGTAGTTTCCCAAGTAAATGAATAACCCCATCTCCCGCTTGCAATAAAAAGGAAATAAAAAGGAAACTGTCAGGTTGTTGCATGTTACCTGAAATATAACACCAACAAGAAACAAATCCCAATAAATGCACCCAGAATAATCCCATCCCTCCTTTTCTTCGCGCCAATCTTATGTATCAACGAATTCATCCCGGGAACCTGGCTCGCGGCACCCACAATCCTTCGATTTATCCTGGCTAGTGACTCCCTCTGCAGACCAAAATTCTCATTCACTGCATACGCCTGGCTCAGCACACTATCCATCATATTGTGGCTGTTATCGAGGCGCCCTCTCTCCTCTAACATGTACTCGGCTTCGGCATTGTTCTGGTTTGAGAAGCGGTATGCATCGATGTCTGACCGAACGTTGGAGAGTAGGTTGGCACGGTCACGGGTTTCAGCAATGGCGGAGTTTAGGCGCTTGAGTTCATGTTGGTGGTCGCGGAGGATCTCACGGTGACGGGAGAGGTTGTTCTGTTTTAGAGCGGAGGAGGTAAGGGCTGATTCGGAATCGAGGAGGCGGGCTAGTTGGGATATGAGGGCCTCGCGCTGTTATTTTAAAAAAAATGTTAGAAATAACAGATGGAGATCAGGAAAGAGATTTTAATATCCGTACCCGTTCTAGAATATCGTGGATTTGTGCTTCGGCTTTCCGTTCCTCGTCTGAAGGGGTTATTGACAGCTGGGTCATGGAGGCATATTGCGCATATGTGTGGAATAAAGACTCTGTCTACGATATATAATGTTAGTACACAACGGACACATGGTAAGCCATCCCGTTTGACCATAGAGTAGTTATAGAGATATATATCGTTACCTGAGTCTCAAGTGACCGAGCCTGCTGTCGCAACTGAGCCCATCCAGTCCCCGTTGACACCATTGTTTGTACCCCGAAAACACACTCTCATTCACTTCAAGCAATTACAAATATATGCACCGGGGATATAAAGAATCGGTCAGTACTTTCAAAATTAAAATCTCCCTATCATCGCCAGGCCATAGTTGTTCTTCCGCAAATCGTAGTTGTCTCCACTACATTATTTAATGATGCGATCTTGGAACCTTGAAGTTAAAGAATAGTATCATCACGTGATAAATCTCGGACTCGCCTATTTTCCGGCTCCGCACATTCTCGAAATTAGCCCTAGTCCCACAACGAACGACGAGCAAGACAACAATTGACATCTTCAGTTCCAAGTCGACATACACCCAACCTGCCCTCCGCCCGACGTCACGACATTCCGCCATCATGGTATGTTTGAATCTGTATGCGTGACGGATCCCGAATTTATTGCTAATTTAGGGGAAACACTTTTAGTCGACAGCCAAGGTGAAGACCGGCCAACTCTGGGGCAAGAACAAGGAGGAGCTCACCAAACAGCTGGATGAGCTGAAGACTGAGCTCGGCCAGCTCCGTGTGCAGAAAATCGCTGGAGGTGCCGCCTCCAAGCTCAACAGAATGTACGTTTTGTCTGGATATCTTGAAACAGGTCCGATTAGGCGTGTTTAAGGAAATGGAAGGAGAAAAAGCCTGTATTTGACCATGGAGAGGGACAGGGCAGAAAAGAAAAACAGGGGCAAAATGGAAGAGAAGAGGAATTACAAATTTTGGACAAAGGAAGATTAGCTGACAATAAATCACTTGGGGACGGTTTTTACAGTCACGATCTGCGTAAGTCGATCGCCAAGGTCCTTACCATCATAAACGCCAACCAGCGCTCGCAACTGCGTCTTTTCTACAAGAACAAGAAATACCTACCCCTCGACCTCAGGCCAAAGCAGACTCGTGCCATCCGACGACGGTTGACGAAGCATGAAGCTTCGTTGAAGACAGAGAGGCAGAAGAAGAAGATGGTGCATTTCCCTCAGCGGAAATATGCTGTGAAGGTACGATGATTTGACGACCCCTGGATATTTCAAGGGTGGGCTTCTATATATTACATGTTATGCGGAGCTTGTGCAGTTGAAATGCTAACAATCGGTTTCTTACAGGCATAGGTAAGATAATAGGATGCGGGAGGAGTTGGAGAGCGTTTTCTTGCTAGTTGAACTTGACGATATCATTTTTTTTTTCTTCGTATCGGTTGAGAAAATAAACAAATGTATCCTAGCTGATGCAATTGAGTTAGCAGCAATTTCATGAAATTGTTGTTCTTACGGTTCAAATATGTTTCATCCCTTTAATCCTTTTATATCCTCTTCTCATAGAGCCTATGATGGCCGAAGACCAGAAGTGATTACAGATTTGATTGTCTTCCGTCACACCTTCCTACTGAATTCACAGGTCCCACGATTTCCTCAACGTCGATATTATTCTTCATTCCTTTATTCATGACCACCACTCCTTATGAAACATACAGAGACAACCTCTCGGACAAATTCCCTCTGGATCGATCCTGATTCTCAGAATTGTCTATATATTACGAACTCTTGAACAATCCGAATCCGCTACGTGGATGCTGACCTGAACCATGAGATTCTAATCCAAAATGGATCCCGATCAGGTCTATTTAACGTCGACACCTAGCTATCATACACACAAAATAGCCCGATTGTTCTACACCCATCCCCCCTTTAATACATTATTGCTAAAAGAAAGACAAGCACAGAAAGAAAAGTCACATAACCAACGTACGAAACCACCCTACCTATACACCGGAAACGGCACCTGATTCAACCTCTCCACATTCTCCATCGCAAACAACCCCCCACAAACGCACATCCTCAGCACCCCAATCTTCCCAATCCACCTATACATACCAACCGATCTCGGCAACGAGACATCCTCCGAAATTTCGCAGCAGCGTACACATCTCCGCTTCGCCACAGACCCATCCAACAATCGCCCCACATTCCTCTTCAAAATATCCACATCATGCGTCCGCTTGAACAGCTCTGTCCTCTTATCATCCCCAATCCCCAACCAACTATAATCATACAGTGCCAGTGCCATTCTGTCAACCTCCGGTCGAACTACCAGAGGCATCGTCTCCGTCAATATCGACATGATGACCGGCTGAAGGACCGGCGGGATGCTGCAGGTGATTAATAGTTCGCGTTCGGGGGCGTTTCGTTCCGCGTTGCTGAAACCCGCGGCTTGGTAGGAGCGCGCGACGAGGCTATCGATGTGCGCAAGCATCTTTTCACATACGTCAGGCTTTAGGGATGCTTGTTCGATGGTGTCGCTTATGCTGGCGAAAATCTGGTAGGATTCACCGCTTAGATTGTTGGCGGCTTTGAAAGTTAGAGGGAAGCGATTGAGGTAGCGGAATATGTGGCGGAGAAAAGAACGGGGCACGCTAGAGAGGATTAGGACTAGGGAGAGGGATTCGTAGGTTTTGCCTTTTTTTTTTTTTTTTTTTTTTTTTGGAGTTAGTTTTGGGAAATGAGGGGAGGGGAGGTCATAAGAATGCAATAACTTTACGAACTTGATAGAGAAAACGAGCTTCGATCGGTTGGGATGGTATCAGCGATTTCGAAAAGGTTGTCGACCAAATATTTTGCAAGGTCAAGGATCCACTTGACATTTCCCAGAACCATGCGGAGTACCTCTTTGATGAAAGTTAGGATGCTGTTATATTTTCTTTTGGAGGGGAGCTATAAGCCTTGTATTGCAGCGGATGCCAACATACCAGGCTCACATGGAGTCGATTCTCTACCACTCTTGAGGTAGTGTGAAAAGGTTAAAATCAGTAGCATAATCTGCCGAATATTTAATATTATCCAAGGAACGGCGGATGTTAGAGCTCGTGGCTGGAATCGGGATCTGAACCCAAGAACGGCTTGCATGCTGAGCCCCTTTTGGATAGACTGGTTGTTTACCAATTTATCTTGCTCAGTAAAGTCGACGCTCATGAATAAAATTGAATAGACTTCTGTGACAAAAGACATTTGCGCATCTAGAATATAATAATGATTAGTAGAGGAACAGATTCTGGTCACCATGGGATTACAAAGTACTAACCAGGATTAAGCTGTCTTACGATCACTGAAAGTATATCGTCCGCACTCGTATCACTCCCACATGCTCTAACATACCCCAAAGCAAGTGCTGCTATTGCGCATGTGAATTTATCTTCGAAACAACGTCAGCTTATGAGCTTGACCTTCTTAAATGCGTATCCAAGACAACGCACCGTTGTTATACATTCCATCTTCCATACCATACGAATGTTCCATGTACCGCAAATGCATCTGCCATTCCCCATCAAGAACCACCGCCAGGCAACCACTCGGTGAAAATGCGATGTGAAGGCCTTGCAGAAATATCAGCACAGAACTTTCGACAATTAATACTAATGTGATTAGTGGCTAGGCAAATACCTGACGCGTCAATTGGAAAAGTGAATCCAGCATTTGGCATGCTCGTCACAACATTCACGTCCTCATTCTCATTGACGGGTCTCATGGTTTTAGCATCAAAAAACGATATGGAGCTATCATCGTATGTGATGACAACCACGCCGCCGGCTTCCATGTGGTCGATTGATACCACAAATCTGTCGAAATAGATGTCCTCTTGTCTCCTGAAGGCTATTTTAGACTAACAATGGGAGTTTAGTAAGAGAAAAAAAAGAAAAAGGCCAATAGCAACAAGTTACTATGTCAACACAAATCTTCGCATATGTGGGAACCTCACCTTGGGGTTAGCAGCAGTTTTGTTCGATGCAACATCGTCAAAGCTTGGGTGTAAGGTCTGAGCCATTGTGTCTAGCTGCCATCGGATAAGAACGCTCGAGGGCACAGAAGGATGTGGTTGACCAAGTTGACTATGAACGGGGATGGAAGCAAGAGCTAATACGCAGGGACCGGAAGCACTCTGTGCTCCTGGAAGAACCTGAGGTGCGGTTATTATCTCAAGATGAGTAACCCTGTAAACTGCCCCGTTGGCCGCTGAGAAATCTGATAAGTTTTCCGTGTCGTGGACCGGCGGATGGAAAACGTCACTCAGAGTATCGGTCTTGGTGCGCAATATTTGAAAACTGGGAGTTGGGAATGGATTGGGCTGACCACCCTGTTTAAGCGTTTGATCCCACTCTGGAGGATCCCATCTAACTTGAACACGGTAAAAACATATTTCCCTGCATTCTGAATGGGTCGCGATGGAAATCCCGCTTCCTATAAAGGCAAGTTTTCAGATCATGAGCAGGCATTAAGGAAGTCATATATAGTTTTTCACCAAGGGAATATTTTACCTTCCGCTGGTGCCATGGCGGCATGCGTCAATATCCCATCTGAATACCCAATAGACGTCAATTCCGTGGATATCTCCGCCCATCTCATGTCTGGATTCTGGTAGATGATTTTAATGTGACCGGATTTGGTCACCAGGACCAGGCCAGACTTATTAACGGGATGCAGAGGCCCCAGAGGGCGCCTTCGATGTGCTGGATAGCTCCATCTATCATCCGTCCGTGTTGCCTTATGGAAGCCAAAGAGCTATCAAAGATATAGGCAGTAAGATAAGTGAATGTATGAGGAATGTATAGGATAAAATGAAACGCACTTACCGGTCGGTTCACACTTAACCACATCAACCCAACAGGCTGGGCCCAATCATCATCAGGGTCTATAGATGCTTGCCGTGCGAAATTAATCGTATTCAGTGTCGTCAAAATCGTGACAATTGAGATGCGTCCAGAGCTATCCACGATGGCCAGTTCGGACCCAGCCTCGTTCCAAAGAAGATGGACTATGGCGTGGACGCCGTGGGGATCAGTGATCTGATTAATAGGGGCTTCATCACTCAATGTCCATTTGCCGTCATCTGGTCTACAATAGAGATATCGCAGATGGACTCTCTGACCGTCTTGTGAGACGTACGCAATTGCCCCAAGCTTTGACCATGCAATTTTTCTAGGTAGCGTTAGCAATATCATCCATAATCTTCAGGGAAATTTAAGCAACGGGGGAAAATGAGATAATATTAACATACTGACAACATCCCGAAAGCCGTAGCTCGTCGAGTCTTTGGGGTAGCCCTTTGATGGTAGGCGCTGTGGCTTCCAGCCCTAGCTCCAGGGAAGTTGGATCCCCCAAAAAGATCATCGACATCAATACTATCTTCCATGATCAATGGCATTCTGAGACTGTTCCCCCCTTAAACCCCCTTTCTCATGGTTTCTTGCGTAAATGCGCAATACAGCTCTTGATGAAACCTGAGTTCTGCAGCCCGCGCCGCATGGAGCTTGAATGGCACTGTGCTGGAAATATTTGGGTCAGAACCGACGGACATATTGTAGTGCTACTAAATAATAGACCAACCATAGATACCACCTTCAAAACACAGGCGCAATTTGGCGCCCGGTTGCAGCGGGTGGAGGAATGCGGTTGCCCGAAAACGGCAATTCGAAGCGGATGACTAAGATCTGATTAAATAAGCGGATAGTCTCCCATTTCAAACACAGTCAAAATTGCGGAATTAAGCAACCACCAAACTAGAATTTCTCATATAATTTATATAGATCTATTTCTTAGGTCTATTGACAGGTTCTAGCAGTATGATCAACTATATTACACTTGCTGCAGTGTGGTGGAGCTCACTTTCTAGGCAGCTGGTTCAAATTCTCTACCCCCCTGATATAGCTTGATCAATTGCTTGAGCTCTAACTATATCTCTCTCAGCTGTTAGAGCTTCGTTCTGAGCTAGAAATGCACAAGTTTGCTTCTTCTTACACTTTTTCTTTTCAACTGCAACTCTTAGCTTCTTATTTTCCTTTGCTAAGATAGCAGTACTGCATATGGCTAACTGGCATCTCTTAGCCAGTTGAGTTGACTCTCTCAATAACAGTCGCTGATTTTCAATTTCCTGCTGGCCTGCCATGTTTCTCAGACTCAGTCATCATCTTGGCTGTTGATATAATCCTCATTTGAAAGCCAGTCTCAAAGTTATAGATATCCTTATTCACAATGTCATATCTCTCTATCATATTCTTCACCTGTCGAAACCACTCTTGTATGATCTTAGGATCTTCACATAAAGCTCACTCATAGTTGTATTTGCATGAGAATCTAGTATTTAGTTCCTTATGATGTGTGTAATGAATCTTTGATCTCATTTTTTCTCTCACAGTAGATTCAACTGAGGTAAAAAGTAGTAAATCCATCATATTTCATACATCTCAATTCAAGGAGGCTGACCTCTCTCATCCATGAATATTATCCATTGGACTAGAAATTCTTCTTCCGTAGGGGTCAGTTTTGACAGTTTGATTGAACATTCATGTAAGAAGCTTGACCAGCTAGTCTATAGACTAGGCTGGAATAAGAAACATTAAATGATTTAGCAGCAGCATATTTGAATGAGATTTTGCCCAGTTTTATAGGCATTAATGGCTGCTAAGAGCCTTCCTTCTTGATTAGAAGCTTAATCTTTTGATTTGAGGGACATATTGAATGATTTGATGAATGCAGGTGATTTGAGATGAGAAGCTATCCGCTCAGTGTTGTTATCGCTCGGTGATGGATTATGTTATTTGCTTTTCGGAGAGAATCCGCCGCTCGGTGGTGGATTACGTTATCAACCATCGCGATTTAAGTTTCCTGTATCCTGGACAACCATGGAAACACAACACTAAACCATATTCAGCTAGGGAGCTCCTCGGACAATCCTGACTTCGCATTCACACACTGATAACAACATCTTGGATGCAAGAATACTATGATTTCCATTGATTGATGATTGATGTTATAAAAGTGTCAATTGAAAAATGTTTGAAGTACTAATTTTATGCTGTTCAAGGTTTTTGATAAAAGATAGACTTTTTATTATTATTAAGTTTCAACATCAATTTAATGAAACATAACTTTAATAGAAACTAGTTATTAGATCTTACAAAGCTCTTTGCAAAATATAACTATATTTTACAAATAGTATAAATTATTTAATAACTTCAATACTTTTATATTAAATGATATAAAATTTTTTAAATCAAATTTTAAAAAATTATGTTCAAAATTTAATTTTAAATTTTTATCTCAACATTAAATATATTTTTAAGAATAATTAAAGTATTTATATTTACTATATATCTATAAAATATTTATAATTATATTTGATCTGATTTTAATAAATAATAAAAGTATTTACTATACACTTTCATTATGAAATTATACTAATATTATTAGATTCATGATATATTATACTAATTAAAAATAATTATATATTAAAATTTCTTATAAGTTGTTAAATTTATTAAATATATTTAACTAATATAGTTATAATTATTAGAATTATGTTATAATTTAATACTTAAATAAAAATTAAATTATAATAAAGTAAGTAAATTTTATTTTAAAGTTATAATTATATAAAATATATTTTATATATTCTAAGATATCCATATTTTTAAAAAAAATTACTCTGAATATATTGTATTGAGTAAAAAATAACTATATATCTAACTTTTAATATTTCATTGAAGCTGGAATTATTATTTAAAAAAAATTAAAATTATTGACACTTAATAGATCCAACTATCAGGAATACAAGCTATGACAAAGTGCGTAATACTTGATAATAATGGATATACCCAGCAACTAAGTTGCCAGGAGGATGCTTATATGGCAATACGGAGATAGATAGCCACATTATGCAGCGTTTCTAATTTTGCAATTTCCTTGGGTTTGGGGGTGCCGCGTCTTGTATTTTACAATACTCAAAACAGAACTCATTTCTCCCCCTTCCCACGCCACTCCCTCGCTCATTGTGGAACAAAATAGCCTACAGATGATAAAACATCAAAACAAGAAGATTGGATTTTCTCCAGAACACCATCAGAGACTATCGTCTGTAATTAGCTCAATAAAGCTTACTATCCAACCTGGTTTGGCGGCTTCATCAACTTGTAGAAGATATATCCTGGGGGAAAAGGTGCGAATAAAGCCATTCACTAGATTTCTGTCAAACAGACCATCTTACTCAGCTTTTCCCATTCTCCACTATAACTGCATCTCGTCCTATCCCGTCCCATCAGATGAATTAACCCTTTTGTTGTTGTTTTGGTTTTGTCTCTGTTGTTGGTCAAAATAAGCCCTGGGCTGTGGCAGAATCGGGACTAGCGTCCCCGCCCAGCTGGCTGTTCTTCCCATGATCCAGTTCCCCTCGCTGAAACTCCACCTTCAGCATCTCCCGTCTTCAACCCTCTTCCTCCTCTCTCTTCTTCTCTTTCTTCTCCCACAAGCACCATCAATGCCATCGATGCAGTGCCCATGGGACGGCCTGTCTTATATCTATGATTTAGCCTCCGGTCTTACCTCGCGATCTCATCATTCTCCTCTCCTTATTCCCTCGGTATCTTTCCACCACAACACGTCGACACGCCCTCGATGGGGCGTGCTTTCGATCCATGGGGGGATTCTTCCGACCTCAGTTCCCCTCCAACTTCGCCATCCCCTCCTCCAGGCTTCCTCCCAACTCCTCCGCCTTCCCAAGGAAATTTCGAGCCCAAGTCGGCTGATCCCCCTGCCCTGACACAACATTGCGCGCCTCCAACCAAAGAGCGAAGGAAAGTCGAACCGAAGCCACGAATAACAAAACACCTCGATTTGTCCCTGCTCACCCAAGATTGCTCTGCGAGTCAGACCACTGAGCTAGGGCTTCTACTAAAAGCTCTCCAGAAAAAACGCAAAATTGTCGTGATTGCTGGAGCGGGAATTTCAGTCTCTGCCGGCAGTGCGTATATTTCCGATTGAGTTTTTATATTCATTGCTGACGCGAAACAACCACAGTCCCTGACTTTCGCTCTTCTCATGGCCTATTCAAGACACTTAAAAAGGATCACAAGCTGAAGGCCTCTGGGAAGCAGTTGTTTGATGCTTCTGTATATCGGGATAATTCAATGACTTCTTCATTCCACGACATGGTTCGCTCGCTATCTAGAATGGCAGCCTCTGCCAAGCCAACAGCTTTTCATCACCTACTTGCTAGGCTCGCAAAGGACGGTCGCTTGATGCGATTATATACACAAAACGTGGACGGCATTGAGACGTCTTTACCCCCTCTGGCCACCGAAGTACCACTGAGTGTTAAAGCGCCTTGGCCTCGCACAATTCAATTACATGGCGGACTTGAAAAGATGGTCTGTCAGAAATGCAGACATACGTCTGATTTTGAAGCGGAACTTTTCCAGGGTCCTGATCCACCCTTATGCCGAAAATGTTGCGAGACTGACGAATTTCGCACAACCACCGGCCAGAGAAGCCATGGCGTTGGCAAGCTAAGACCAAGGATAGTTCTCTATAACGAACATAATCCTGATGAAGATGCTATTGGTTCAGTTGTTACAGCGGATTTACGCGCCAGGCCTGACGCCCTGATAGTTGTGGGCACTACTCTAAAGATCCCAGGAGTTCGACGAATCGTCAAGGAAATGTGCCAGGTTGTCCGTGGACGAAAAGATGGAATCACCATGTGGATAAATCACGAACCTGTTCCAGTCGGAAGGGACTTTGAGAGTTGCTGGGATCTAGTCATCAAAGGCGACTGCGACGAAGTTGCGCGACAAGCCAACTTGAAGCCCTGGGATGATGATAGCGATGATATTGTCCAGGAGTGCACAGCCTCAGACGTGGAACGGGTTAAGCAGGAACAGGGCCCCTTCTTCGTTGTCGTTCATACGCCCAAGAAGGCTCAGAAGAACACTGGTATCCTCACACCATCTTCTAGTCAGGATGAAGCATTCGACCCCAAGGATAAACCGCCAATTCCCATCAACCTTGTTGCCAAACCGGCCAAGAAAAGCATGACTCAGTGGTTATCCGGGAAGGATAACATTAATCCAGGATGCAAACGCAAGAATCCCCCTACGAGCAAAGCCGGGCCTCCAAAGAACGCCAGAACGACAAATCCTGCTCAGACAAAGAAAATCGATCAACAATTCCGCATTGGCAAATCGACTAAAGCCACCATCACTATTAAGAAGTCCATTAGCCCCATTGAAAGTGAACACTCAAAGCCTATGCTTGCAATATCTCCTGGTGCAGCCCGTAATAATGGTCCGATGTTTCCAGAGATTTCCGCTTCTCCTCCATGGAAGGACAAGGCCACGATTTCCCCATCTGGCACGCTCCCACCTGATCTTGAAAGGATGTTAAACTAATCCACAAAGAGTAGCAAAAGAAAACCACCTGCTGTGGGCCTCAATATATCTAAGAGAATGGGTTTTTTATTTTATTAATTTCTTTTTCAAGTTCTCTGGATTCCAAAAATATTCCTTTCTCCTCCCGCTGGTCCTTACCGTCGGCTACGAAACAATGATACCCAGATAGAATTTTAGGTGCTACTACTAACCCCCCTCGCTACATATTACCACGGCTTTTCTCGCGGTTGCTCCTGGACTGGGAGATTAGGCAGCCTTGACGTTTAATTTTCATTACCGTCGCATTGAAATATAATAGGAAGAATGGATGGATGGCGCGTTTCTGTACATCGCTTGTTAATAGTTGTTTTTCTCGCCCATTATTCCTTTGTTCCTCAAATTTCATCTGAGAGATTCTTTTCTCTTTGCTTCGAAAAGAAATTCTCCAACTGGTAAAAGTTTCCTCCTGCACCTACTTTTCTTTATGTCAGTTCAATTGTGTTTCATGTTTGTTCGGAGGACAGCTTCCATTATCTCTTTACACAGGGGAAACAGGGGCGGTTCCTCTTTATTTTTCAAGTACATACTCTGTAATATCAAGTAGCCAATCGCATAGGGCTTCTTTTCTGCATTTGTATTTACATTTTCGAGTCTCTTTGGTCTACTTCGCTGCTTTTACATGTGTGATTTTTCTTGTTCTCTTTCTCGTTTGCAGGTGTTCAGTTGTTAATGTGTGCAGGGAGTT